GTATGTATGTATTTTCGTATTTTGACAGCAGTAGCCTGCTGTGACGGTCCAGACAACTTTTTGGCTTCTCAAATTTGAATTATTAAACCGTCACATCAAATACCTTATTTTTTGAATTTCGTCGATTTTATTTGCCAGCAAATGTTAAAAAAGTGTGATTTAGCGCTAAAACTGCTCAATTTTTAGGTTTACGATCATTGATTAACGAAATTTTCTGACCTTTTCAGAGCCTGAATTTAACGGTACAAACAAAAAGTTGGTAGCATCCCTCTAGACTCGCACGTACGGAATTTTGGAATTATGCCAACTCGAAAAGTTGAGAAAATTTCGATAGCATTTCGCTAAATTTCAGCTTTTCCGGTTCCCAAGTTAGTAATTTTCTCACCAAACAATTCATAGAGCCTTGTGAAACTAGGACCATCAGAGGAAAACAGAAAAACTAAGCTTATTTTAAATGTTTCTATATAAATATACGTCGATTACGTCCTTTCCCGCTTTTTGGCCTCATTCTGTTCATCATTTCCTACAATGCTGTGATTATTGGTAAAATTTCTCACATCGATATCTTTGAGATTGTGAATTCTGCGATCGAATACAGTGAACAATTCTTGCAACACCGATTTCAGGGCAAAATGACCGGGTGGAGCATTGAAATCGATGCCTGTCATAGCGACAACCTTCAGTGATCCCCATGGTAATTCTGCGGCAATACATCTAAAAAAAGAAGAAAAACTGAACAAAATCAGAATAAATTACATTTTTTGGAATTAAAAATCGTTTTTTTAATAAAAAAAACCGAACAATATCAAACTAAATTATATTTTTTGGAATTAAAAAATAATTAATTTTTTGGAATGAAAACACCGAACAAAGTTAAACTGAACTATATTTTCCTGTAATTAAAAAATAATCGATTCTTTTGGAATGAAAAAAATCGAACAAAGTTAAACTAAGCTACACTCAATTAGCTTCTTTCACCGAAATTCAACGGATTTTCCAGAAAAAAAGAATTCCGTTTAATTAAATAGAAAACTATAATAGGAAAGAATATGGAAAAAAAGGAAAAAAAGGTAAAAAAAAATTAGAAAATTTGCGGAATTATTTATACTAGTAAGAAAAATTTTGGGCCATTAATTCG